CCTTGTTACCTCAGATTTTCCAGCATCTGCAGTTCCTACTATCTCATGTTCAAATGCAGCACTGTACAATATCCATTTTTGGGCTGACAAGTAGCAAATGACATTCATTCCACACAAGTGTCGGGCAATGACTATCTCCAACAAGCGAGAATCTAACCCTCAACCATTGGCATTCAATGGCATTACCATTACTGAATCCCCTACTATCAACATCTTGAGTTTACTATTGACCAGAAACTGAACCAGACTATTGTGTTTACAAGAGTAGGTCAGAAATAACAAGTAACTCACCTCCTGATTCCCCAAAGCTAGGTCACAGTCTACAAGGCACAAGTCGGGAATGTGATAGAATACTCCCCATTTGACTACAAAAGTGCAACTCCAACAGCATTTGAGAAGCTTGGCACCATCCAGGACAAAATAACCCACTTGTCTGGCAGCACACCCATAAACATAGAGGCCTTTCATCTTTGACGATCAGTAACAACAATATATGCCATCTACAAGATGTGCTGCAAAAGTTCAACAAAGCCCCTTAGATAGCATCTTCCATACTCACTACCACTGCCATCTAGAAGGACAAGGGCAGCACATGCAATGGAATACCACCTCTATTTTACATTAACACCACCTATAAATATGTTGACATTCTTCAGTACCACTGAGTCAAAATACAGAACTTCCTCACTAATAGAATTGTGGGGCATATCTACACCAAATGGCCATAGTGTTCAAAAAGAAGCTTACCACCACCATCTCAAAGGCAACTAGTGATAGATAATACATGCTGGCCCAAACAACAATGCCCACATCTGATGAGTGAATAGTTTAAAAAAAAGTGCAGGAGGAATAGACTGTATGCTTTTCTAAGTAGTCACCTAACCAGTGACTCCATTCCTCTACCAAACTATTGATTCCACCCTCCGGCAACTGTCTCTGTGGAGCATGCACATTCTCCCCGTGTCTGCATAGGTTTCCTCCAGGTGCTCCAGTTTCCGCCACAGTCCAAAGATGTGCGGGTT